GTAAAGAAATAAAAATGTTTTAGGAGTCACTAGAAAACGAAAAGTACAGCCAAAATAATACAAAATTGACATAACACTGACTGCCAGAAAAGCAAAATGCATCTGACTCGGTAATAGCTGTTCAACACCAGCATATGCCAGCAAGCAAAATCCCCAAATCATCTAATACAGATGCAATTCGGTGATGCGAGGCGTCGAGTGTTGGAAACCTGAAGTGGCAGATACACTTAATTCTTGTACAAATGCATGCCGGTAATCCGAGCAATCTTGCCGGCAATCTCGGTGATCTCTGCAAATTGCCGCCGAGATTGCTGAGCACTTGCCCAGCCAACGCAAAAGAATGACCTTTAGCTAGCCGTATTTGATATTTATGTTGCATGTTTGCATCAACAAACATTAGGTATCTGCGATCAGAATATTATCAATATAAAAAGTGGCGCATCACTTTCCAGTGATGGTGCAGAATTTTCCAATGATGGTGCAGCCGAATTCTGAAGCGAAGCAGAGGAACTGAGGACCGAGGCCGATAGAGTCATCACCGACGAAACTGCGGACATCGGTGGATGGGACCACTGCTGCCGGACTGAGAAAACTGGTGTGGTGCCATCGCAAAGAACGTCGACCAGTGATGCTGCTGTATGCATCTCAGTTAGTCATAAATAATGAGGATGAACCAGTCGCCTACAAATTCTATTAATCAGTAGTGGTAAAATCACGGAAAAATGCGGCACGCTTCACCTTGTTAGGATTGATTCATTGACTTCTTCAGATCTTTTTTTTCACTTCTGTGTGGACTTTTCTTTCACTTCTACTTCCTATTGCGCCATGTTTATTAAATTTAAAATTAAAAAAAAGCAGGACCAAAGGTGGGCTGATTTCAGCTCCTCGAATATTTGGAATTTACTAAATTCAACTCTGGTAAATTCGAAGCAAACGTTTTGTGCAAGTGCGGAAATTGAGGCTCATTTATCATTTTATTCATTAAAAAAACAACGAGGACAAGAAATATGAGGTATCGCTGCTTCACATTTCAACTTCACATTTCGCTTCATATCCGATGAACTCCGATTTTCGGAGGAGCCTTAGAAATATCACGATAAAAACACAACACAAAAAAACAAACAGTGAATATCAATGCAAGCAAACAAGGCAACGAATTTTATTCAAAATAAAGTAACAAATGCTTTAAAAGCTAGAAAACTGGCCGCCTAGAACCCGGTGAAATTAGCAAAGGCTGTAATACAGCACAAGACGGAAGGGTTTGGTGCAATTGCACTCGGCGAGCAACCACATTCAGATAACATTTTTAACATGGGACGCCAAAATTGTCCAGACATCGTGGTATTAACGGCATTAAGAGTAATGGAAAGCAAATGATGAAGGAGAAGCAGTAAGTGTGTATCGTATCTTTTAGCCTCAAAAAATGAGGGACAAACATGATTTGACTAAGAAATCTTACGTGAAAAGCCATACATTTACACTGTCCTTCCTTTTTCTATTCTTTTTCAGAAATGACGTACTTTCGCAGCTGCAAATTTTCAGTGCACCGG